CCAAAGCGCTGCGCCTTTTCCCTACGAAAAGAAGGAAATCGCTACCGGAAAGCAATAAATCCTTCCGATTTTACAGCCAGTAGGCACATCGCCAACAACAGGCTTCAGCGCCGAGTGGCCGGTGTGCGAAACAAAGCACAGCTCGGAACAGTGATCAAAGGAATCTCCAAAACGCTAATGGTAGCCAAAGTGGCCACGGATAATCGATTTTATACAGCATGAATTTCTACTTGTCTTGCCTTTTTCAGCAGACCTCGCATAGCTCTGCGATACTTTGTAACCAGGACTTGTGTGAACATTGCAAGTTTTTATCCTATGAAAACTCCTAATGCATTGCAGTCACGAATCTAAATTGTACCGCATACTATACAAAATGGGTAATAAACCCACGAAACTTAAGCATTATCCTTGGCTTAATGATGCTAGAATGGGTGGCAGCTGAGCCTAAGGGCATGCTGACATGCTGAAAACTGCATTGAAAAGCCGGAACGCATTAGCCCCAACACGCCAAGGAGTTCCTATCAGACCAGCGTCGGGCGAGGCAAGGCCATGCGCCGCGCCGGCCGGTCGGTAGGAGCTGGGGTCACGATGCAACTGCAGAGCACGTGTCCGTCACTGTCCACGGAACGGGGTCGCCCTGCTTCAGAGGCCTTCAGAGGTATTAGCATCACTAACAATTTAGCAGCTGTGAATCTGTGTCAGATAATATTCTGCTTGACCGCCTAAGTCTCACGTGAAGCTCATACTATGTGGCGTTCCACTGAAACTTTAATGAGTGACAAAGGCATTGCGTGCAGGTGAAGTGACAGGGATCTGATGCAAGTTCCCTTTCCATCAAATAAGTGAATACCACGAATTCTTTTGGAGAAATGTTGAGCTTAACATACAGAGGAGCAGACTGGAATTGACATCGCTTCTAACATCTTGAAAAGAAGAAATATGCGAGCATCACTGGTGCAGTTGGGTTGGCAGTGTAAATAGAAAAATGCAAAAAAAGTCACCTCTTATAGGAGGTGACGTTTTATTTTGCATTTTTCTATTCTATTTTTCTAAACAAGTATACTTGTCTTTAACACTCATGGAATAATCTCGAATGATTAGTGACTCTTAACCCTCGCATGTGTGCGGCGTTTGCCAGCTTCTAATGTGTAGGGGGGGGGGGGTCGGTTGGACCCCCCTTGCCGTTTGGCCCCTGATCGAGCTAGAGCTTCGCCGAAAAAACGAGCGTGTTGCCCGTGACAAGAGGAAGCCGATGATACCCAATTTTAAGGTCCTAGGTCATTGGTTGACCTTCCAGGTCAGGTCAACGACCCAAAGTCGGGAAAATCGGGACCTGTTAGAAAGTCGTAAAGTGTGGCTGCTAAGGGGTTTTTCGGGGTGCTGATCACGAATATCGTGTTAGTTTTGATCACAGATGATGTCTTTAAGCATTTAGACCAGGTCGGGTCAGGTCAGGTCAGGTCAACCAGTAGGCGTCGTGACGGGTATTCGTAGTACGTGTCAACCGCCTCTGACAGCTTCGTAACATGTTACGAAGTCACCAAAACTACTTCGTAAATGTTCAAATGGTTGCTAAATTCGAATTCAGCTCCAAAAACTAGCCTAGAAACATGTAAACTCGAAAAAGTGACCCGAGGTCACCCGAGGTCACCAAAGGTCAATGGCCTGACCTGACCTTCAGTGACCTTGACACACACGGGAGTAACATCAAATCACATGTTGGAACGTTTGAAACCACGAAAAGCTTGCAAACACGCGGCTAGTGCGAGCCGACATACGCGAAATCGCGATTCCGGCCAAACATGGTCTCAGAAAAGAGGTCACAGGTCAAAGGTCATTTGGGTCAGGGTCATGAAATTTTCAGGGTAGGGGTAAAATTGATCAATGCGAGGGTACTGAAAGTTTCGTCGCGATCGGCCGCTTTTTACGCGAGTTATTCGCGAAAAACCATGGGGGGGGGGGTCCATCCGACCCCCCCCCCCCTACACATGCGAGGGTTAAGAGTATAACAATGCAAACTTCGCAATCTTTCAAATAATTTTTTATTTCTTTTTTTTTTAGAGTCTGTAGGTATAAAAAAGTCAACAAATCATTTGTTGTTTTATTACAAAGGCACTGCTTCACGTAAATGTTACAAACTTGCTGCCATTGTTTTCATCTTCATCCATTCCAAGAGCGGTTGAGACTTTCGAACCGAAAGGAAAAGCTCGCGAAAACACTTGAACGTGATTCATAATTATTGGTCAGTGATCTTAGAAACCGTTCAGGTATTACCGCGCGTTCGGGACAGCAGCAAGACTGCGGTACAACAACAAAGGGAAAACAACAACAAATGCACGTTAATTTTGGAAACGTTGACCACTGAAGCATCCCACTCAACTATGAGGTGCAAAAGATGCTTTCAAACCCATACGCTGACAAAGACAGTCTGTACCAGCGATGTTTTCTGTCCTTTGTGGAAATATTCGGCACCCGTGGCGAACAGCCACTATTCATGTGCAGACATTCCACAATCTAGAGTCACGGTAGATCGGTTGGACGGCACGGCGTTATGATATACGTCACAACGTTACGGTCACAGGTCATAGCGCTACCATACTCGTCACAGCGCCTTCATACGTGTCACGAGATTACGTTATACGTCACAGCGTGACAATTACATACATGTACGTACCTAAAAAAGTTGCAATGTACGTACGTGACCATGTGTCGTGATTACATTTAACGCAATAGCTATTTGCAAGTCCAGACTGCAGGACAACACTTTCTGGCCATATTGGAAGAGCCTTTAGTGTGATCCTGAACACAGCATTGGCAATAAAACTCCATGAAACGATCACATGCTTTCAAGTAAAAGGCCAGTGAGTATTGAAGCGCATACGAAAAAGCATTGCATAAGCATGTGAAGCGACCTGTGATTCATACAAGCAGTTGCAGTATCCTTATGCGTAGTTTAGAAGCTAGATAGGTATTGGATGAACGATATCGATTTTTGGAGTGGATTGCATTTGGTGAGATTGAGTTCGCCTCTGTGCCATGAGGGAAAGTATTTTATTGATATTGCCAGTGGCCCATCGGCGCTGCTCGGCGCCGCCTCAGCGTGACTTTATGTCCCACGACTCGGCCCGTTCGGGGGAAAACTCGAAACCATGATATCGAGAGTGTGTAGTTTAAAGTAAAAGTGAATTACAGAGTTATTTTCATTACCTACCTTCTGAAAAAATAAAATATATTTCACGACCAGCTTCAGCCGTTAGTTTATCGTAAAACAAAGTAGACAGAACGGACAAGTTGGTAAAGATAGTAACTTGATGCCAGACTGTTTTCATGTTATAGTGGCAAAAAAAAAAATAAGGTAGATGATTTTTGGCTATGATTCAAACCGATGACATTTATCAAGAATGCATCCGGGTATGACATGCCGTTAAACTATGCGCATGAATGCGTCCAATACCACATAGGGGCTCGTTCATCTCGATTCTGTCAGTATTCAGAGCTGCTTACATGGCGGCGGTCGCCGGTTTCCGTCTTATCTGAGCCCAACATTCCACGCCGCTCTTGGCGGGACCGGCGCCGACCCTCGCAAAGTTGCCGAATGGTAGTATAATCTCCGAAAAGCACGACCTCTAACTTCAAGCTCAACAGACTGGAAACTGATTTTAATTACAGTCCTGTGATAGCTGAAAGTTTGATGCAAGAGTCGTTTCAGAGAAAAGGGAAAAGCACGCCGAAAATGAGGAAAATGTAAATCTGAGTGTGTTCAGAAGGTAGAAAAACAGTAACGGTTGAACTAGCAGCAAAGCGTTAATCGAGCCGCTGGTTTTAATTAGGACCTGATCGTCAGATCCGACTACCAAACATGTATGTATCTCACGTTTTCCTAATCGGGTAGATTACAAATATCTTGATTATAAAAGAAAATGATTATTCGTGTGTATTACTACCATAAAAACACTACAATATTAAGCTCATTTGTCAGTTGGCAAGGAAAGAGGAACATCACCATGGCATGTGAACGAATTGAATACCTATACCTATATCATCGGCAAGTGATAACACGTGTTAAGCTACATTATTACGAATTGCATGCACATTGAACAATAAATATGGAAATAATGGAGCGTATATATCATACGCCGTGCGCCGAGAACTGTCCTGCTGCGCCAACGCTGCACTGGACGGCCGGCCGCCACCGCAGCGAACACCCTGCACTGGTAGACTGTACCGCCACACTCTGATGTAGTGCGGGCTAGTCTACCCGACAGGCATATCTGTCTCGGGCAGCCTAACCGACGCTCGGCGTTTGACGAAATCACTTTTAGCAACAAAAAGTTATTGTTGCTCCTTGCTAATATTTTTCACTGTACTGTATTGACTGTATTGATATGTAACAAATTACAAAGAGCATACAATAATGATGCTATGAAAGACAATGGGACCGCCCCGCTTCACACTCCCATGGTTAATTCAAACGTTCTTTTCATATCAGATACTTCCAGTCTGCATGAGCAAGTTACTAAGCAAGAAAGTAAAATAAGTATGATTAATTTCACATTCCATGACAACCACTTTGCGCGCCTAGCGCTTAACGCCATTGCCTATTGGATTTTTTGTTGCTCTGTGCATGTATTGCCCCATACACTGTTTCTGATTATTTCCACCGCCTGCTACTGTATGGCGGCTATATTACCAAGGCACATTCAACGGCCATATTCATGGACGTGGGCAGTCCCGGCTTTCAATCGGCGTGGCTGCCGGGCACCTATCAATCAGCACTAACTGCTCGCCTGCATGACTGGCATTTATAGACCGGTCGGCACCGGGGCCTATGACCAACGGTCGCGTCCGCCTGACCTCAGTCTGTAGCGGCCGCGGGTCGGCGGCGACCACCATCCACTAATGCCTCGCCTCTACGGACCAGCCCGTCTGAAATCTGGCCATAAACGAGCCCTTAGTCTCAATTAGAGGTAACAAGGCACCATCCGCGGCGGCTGGCCTACCGCGGAGCTCGGCGGCCCCTGAACGAGCCGGGCCGGCGACCGGCGGCCGGGAGCGGTCATGGCCACAAGCGGACCGCGGCCGGCGTGTTCCGCCCACAAATGGGGTCGTTATCAGCGCAACCGGCCCCCGGATGGGACGTGGCTTCCCCGGCCAGCGCGGCCCAGGCGCCGGCCGGCGGAGATGTATGGTGGCTCGCCCCGGTCATAATTGACCAGCTGAGACCACACAGCCCACCTGGTACCCGCTCGTGGGCTCAGGTCGAGACCGTACCCCTTCCTCTCACACTCCCTCCAACCGAGTCCGCTGGGCCGACCCGGCCACACCACATCACTGACCTGCTGCATACGTTTGACCTCGCCGACGCGGCAGGGCAGAGCACAGACAGAGAGCGGGGTGGTCTGCGGCTCGTCTGCCCCGTGCCACTGCACGTCAGCCGGGTCCAGGTGCAGGCCGCCGTCCCAGCTGCCGATCACCTGGCGGACGGAGCAGAGTCAGCGGTCTGGCAGAGGTCTGCACAGCGCTAGAAACATGAATTCTGGACTATCTGATGCAGGACTCAGAAGTATGCACACTGCACAGGGAAACAAAGGACCTGACGTGAGAGGAAAGAAGTCAGGGTTCTGATTTAGACGATGTCTTGAAAGCTGAAAGGATTAATCATCGCCTCAAAACTATTCGGCATTAGCTGGTGAAAACGAAACTTGATATCTCTTAGAAAATGAATTACCTGATTTTACATTTCTCACAACAAACGAGGGAACAACCACTAGACTAGAAAAAGTCTCCATTCAACCACACTGGCACTGACACATTCCGCCAAGTGTATGAAGTTGCCCTTTGAGTGGCACACATTCACTGCCACTCACACCTCAGTGCTGTCAATATGTAAATACTCGTAGTAAGTACACCGACCTTTCCATAATCCAGCTGTTAACCCCGACATTAGCTCGACGCACCCCGATAAAACTTGAGCACCCCGCATCTGAGCCCGCATGGAAGCCAGCGAGTACGGCTCGCGGGCGCGACGGTAAACTCTGCTGATTAACTATGCATGACATGACACCCTGTCATGGTTCAGTGGCAATAAACAGCCACCATCGGGCGCGGCATGGGCGGCAGATTGCCGGCGGCAACGACAGGATCGGCCGCGGAGCAGGATGACCCGCCAGAATGGCGCTCCGGTTAGGGCCAGGTCAGAGGTGGATCAGCGGCAGGCGGCCAACTGCAGTAGCGCAGATGTGATTGTGGAAATCAGTGGCAGAAGGGAGGATAATCTCTCAATGTCCGGCTCACATCCCCACAAAACACCAGATGCAATCTAGAGTGTGCTTGTGACCTTTCTGAGATACTGTGACCGTAGTTCTTCCTGAGATTGAAGAGATTGAGATTGAAGATCTCAGCATTGAAAATGGCGTTTAGTGCCTGGATGCATTTATAAAAAAATATATATACAGAAAAGAGCGAGCTTTTGTGTTTTCATTGCATACCGTGATATATCCAAGAAACCTATAGCAAACTTGCGTTTCAGCAGCTTAAAAGGCAAAGAAAAGACACTCCACTGAGCTCACGACTCACCGTATAAGCGCCTTGGCCGTCCCTGCTGCGCTGATAATTGAAGATGGTGTAGCGAGCCAGGCCGTCTCCACGCTCATCGAACATCACTTTACTGTCAGCCATGTCTGTCGGCGAAACAACACAAAAGGTCATATGGCCATTTGATCATACTGTATGTGGTATAGATGTTTATGCTGAGCATGGTCATACATATAAATAATTGTCATGTGGTGTTATAATCGGCGCCTTTATGGCCTGTATTAGTAACAGCGTTTGCTCAAATGACTGCTAAGACGTGGATAGATGCTTAGTCAGAGCCTACGTATAGCAATGCCATCGGTTTGCCATTCGCCGCTGTATTTCGGGACTTAACCCGCGAGTTGCTGGGGGGGGCGTTAAACGCCCCCACTTTTTTCGCCGGGCCATAGCATAAAAATGGCGCGCCGCAGGCGCGCCAAATTTTGGGTACCTGTAGGGAATTGATTGAAGTTTTTTGTGACAAAGTTTCAAAAAAAATCGGTCGGAAAATTTTTGAGATATCGAGGTTTTAGTGACGTCATGATTTCTGAATTTTCGACCAAAAACGGCATATGTTCAAAAAATCATATAAAATCACAGAATAGACATACAGACATGCCGTAAACGCCATTAGAATGCCAATACCATGAACAATCAAATGGCTATCTTCGATTATTGATTATTGTTCCACAATTTCCAAAATCTTGAACTGAATCTTGACAATTTCTCGTGACTACTTCACGACCATGATACATGCATTTCTTAAATTGAACTTTTTGAGCCAAACACGTACACATATGATAAAATGAATGTCACCATCGTGTCCTACGGCCCAAATTACCCATACAACATGTGTCATAGACTGCGAATATCAGTTTTGATTTTCGGGGATATGTGCCTACCCGGTTGACCTGACCTTGACCCTGACCTATGCTTGACTGACCCCTACATGGAACTGACACTCTTGTAGGCCTTTTATGATGGATTGTGCACCGTTTTGACAGAGTTTCTGACGAGAGACGCCCATTGCGAAGTCCTGAGGTCCATGCTACTGAAAGTCCGATTTCCGGTGTTTGACCTGACCTTGACCCGACCTGTGACCTCAAAATTCAACTTTAAAGTACTCATCTGAAGCGTCTCGTCGCGTTCTTTCGTTTGCCGCCTCGTGCGTTTCGCTGCGCCTATTGGTTCTCGAGTTATCGGCTGGGGGCGTTTAACGCCCCCCCCCCCCCCAGCAAACGGTGGGTGGCGAAATACCCCAGCAACTGCCGGGTTAATTGCAATATTACAACAGCCGACGCACGTCATGTGCTTCGAGCCATTGAATTATGAAGCATGCACTAATCAGGAATACATTAGCTATACGTAGCTGGTCAGCGTGCAGTGACTGACAGCTGTTTGAAGAAATAAAATAAAACGCGCTCACTACCTTCGCGCACACTTGCCACACTTTCATATACTCATGTACCTACCCCCGACATAAACTCGTAAAGGTTAGGCTCAGAGGTATTAAAGTAAGATTATTCACTTTGTGTGCCTCCTGTGGCTATCTCCGCATGAATCACCATTCGTTGAAATATTTTACGGCAGAGGTCAGCGGCCAGCACTAAAGCTAGATTATCCACCGCTGAAAGCTGAATCTATTTCGGCGCTTCCACTGCATTACCCTTTGCATCGTCCCATCACAGCCTGTTTCTCGTTGATTTCTCTCGGGATCCTGCTGGTCCGGAGGGACACATTCCGCACATGAACGACATACTTTGCCTCTTTGACTAGCGACACACTCGCGTTAGCGGCTGCGTCCATTATCAGCCAGAAATCCCTTCGCTGTGTCCGCTGGGACATGGAGGGCAGTGCGAATAAAGGCACCGGAAGCACAAAAAGTGCTCCATATCTGTTTTTTTTCTTATGCGAAAAATGACCCTAAATACATTTGGTCTGCGTGTGTTGACACCTTATTTTCTCAGTCCAAAGTCTGTTAGAATGTCGCACACAAACATACCCTCTTCCGTAATATCTAACCAGATTTCTCGACTATCTCGTTTTCCTATTTGGCCCGATGCATCATCGGAAAAACTCATCCCTGCTCTGCATGGTTGGAGCGCCTCAGCGGTGCGGCGGCGGTGGTGGCAGTGGTGGCGGCGGCGGCGGTGACGACGTGAGCGGCGGCGGTGGCGGCGGCGGCGGTGGCGGCGGCACATACATACAGGGGCGTCACCGCGCGCCGGAGTGGGCCGGCGCCGGTGACGGAGAGGCCGGTCTGACGGTCGCTCGCTGACGGAGCGGCGCAGGGTGGAGACGGAGCGCCTACCGTGATGACGGAGAGACCACAGCCGCGGCCGGCCGAATACAGCAACAGCGACGGAAATAACTCTCCGGCGAGGGCGTGGGAAAGCGCACTCACGACTGCCTAGAAATTGGCGGAGAGGGTGAAGGTATACCTATTTAGAGGTGATGATAATTTGATGTTGTTTTGTCACTTAGAGCTGAAGGCATTCGAAGGATGACATTGACCTTTCGATCACCTAAGCTTTGAGCTGTGGGAAACAGCTTAAAAGCTATGAGCTTGCGGAACATAGTATTTTCTATATCAACGTTGAAATTCTGAGCTTCTGAGCTTATCTGATCTGTAGATATGAGTATCTGATCATCTGAAAGCAGCATACCCGTAAAGTCTTACGTTGACCTGCATACTAAGCGGAAAGCCAACAAATACAACTTCCAACATGATGTCTTAAATAGCGAACAAGCTTCCAACTGCAGTGGATTTCTATTACCTATTGTATAGTCTGGATTCCAAAATCCTAGGCCATATTGCGTCGGCCTCACGGCACTCGAAACTATCCGCGACGACTACGAGATTCATGTCACAGTGCACTCTGCTTCTGTGTAACCTTGATCTTGACTATCAACATGATTTCCGAGCAACGATGGTGTCACTACGATGAGCTGCCAACAGTACTTTGTTGAATAATTCATGGTAGTATAACATTGCATCTGTAACATGACAGCTAGCCAGCCGAGCTACGTCCTTGCATCATGAACGAAACCAATCGAAAGCTGGTGCTATGCGTGCCATTCTGAATTTTATGACTACACAAATGCAAATAGGATTTTTTTTTAAATACACAGCGGCTATCACCTAAGAAACGATCTTGCTTTTGAATTATGCGATTGACTTGCTATTATAGCTCAGGTCCATTTCGATGGAAATACAGTGATTAAATCCTGTCAGTTTATCATTTCCGTTAAGTCAATCGCCGACTGATTGTCCGTTTGGCCAATCACAACCAGATCAAAGATGTGGTTCTACATATAGGGAGAAATCGTCTCAAATAACCAATCCAAATGAATAGCCATGGCTGCATTCCTCTCGGTGACAACCATGGTGCAAAAAAAAGACAACCATGGTGCAACGGGCGACACTATAATGTGGTGACGCTACCGTTGTGTGCAACAGGATGCACGAAATGTTCTCAGCTCTGCGGCGAATTATTATGAGTTCTTTTATTTAAATATATATCTCCGTGGATTTTCCTTGAGTCCAAGCCGAGTCAATATCCCGATTGTTGCTTTTGCCTTGACTCTTTCTCACGCAAAATGGTCGCTGGCTCTATCAGGTAGGTGATAATCGGCGGAGGAAATTGATGATCAATTAATTGATCGAGATTTTCGTCCCTTAGGTGGTGGTCTTACTTCACGATTTGAGTCCATGGCTTTGCGCCCTACAAACGGTGTGTAGCTGTAGCTGTTCATGTAGCATGTGCATGCCCTTGTTCCATTTCACAAAGAATGAATGAAGCTGTTCCATGGTATAGTATTTCATCTCCTAGGATGATACCTTCATCACAACGGAACATCTGTATATGTTTTAAGGTACAAATGACAGCGTACCAATAACACGTTCGAAGATTTTTCGCCTTTATTTCATCTATTTCCAGATCCGATGGTTGCTTTTCCTGTAATGTGTTTTCGTGATGCATTTTCATATTGGACGTCGGCAGGTAGGCCCATAATAAAAGAATGGCCGCATAGAAAGCCACAGGAACAAAACAAAGGCCACTGAAAGAATTTCCAAACAGCACTGACCATTACTTAGACCAGTTGATGAGGGAATAATGCTCTAGTCCGGGCCGGTCCGAGCTGCTTAACTAAATGTGTGGTACTTTCCCGATGTTAAGCTAATGCAGTGGTTTCCAAGACGGACGTCTCATCAGGAAAGTGGCAATGAAGGTCAAGCCGGACCTTGGAGACTGGTGCCTGTTTGACCCGATGTTTGTCGGACATTAGCTGCCTGCATCTCCTTCGCTGTCCATGGGCCTTTTTACCACTGCTCCACTTCGCAGCCTTGGGTCGTCCCCTCTGGCAACCCGACTTGCATTACTGAATTTCACATACGAAACTCAGGCCTTATTGCCTCCTCGCCATGCCCAGCTCAACAGAGCGGCGCCTTGAATGTAGCTCACACAACTGACTGTAGTGACTAACCCCACCGCCGCCACGCGCATGTCTGGATTCGGGAGGTCCGGACCCGATCACTGCTCGCCCGAGCCTCCCATATGATCGCTGCAGTGATGACTCTGGGACCCTGCAGTGACGACTCTGGTTCGCTGCAGCGACGACTCTGGAGACCGTACAGATTGACCCACGCCGGCCCCGTGGCGGCCGTGAAACCACCGCATTTGACGTTATGGTGTCTGCTCAGTGAATGGCAAACGGTCGGCCCGGGACGGGATCAGAGCTGAGCGGAATTCAGAGCCGAGGAAACTGAAACTGAGCCATGGCTATGAGAGACAACGAGAGATAGGATTTTAGATGACGATTCTAGTCACATGTCCTAACAAGCCATGTGTGAAAGTATCGAGTTGGGTTTTGACCTGTTTATTTCAGTGAGGCCCAAATAGGCTGGCACTTGATGTCACCAGATCAAGCGAAAGCGGTGCGCCTGAATATTCGTCATATTTCACCTCGGGCCCGCTGGCCGTGGACAAAATGAAGTAATATTTAAATCCATTGAGTCCCATCGAGGTCAGATGAGGTTCACTGGAATCCATCGCAGCCTCTGAGAGGCCATCGAATCCTCTGGGGTCGGCTCAGTCGATGGCAGTCGATCGGAGTCGATCGCCGCTGGTCGAAGTCCGTTGGCGCCACGCCGTCTGCTTCAGACATGCGGTGCGGCACCGCAGGGACCGTAGCACGGGGGGGGGGGGGGGCTATGGGCTCGGGCGGTGAGCCGGTGGTACGATACTTACGGGTTTCTAGGGCTATATATGGGGAGATGAGAGTGATGACAGTACTCAGATGCATACTCCATTGATGCAAAAAGACGGATAATGCTCCGATACATCGCAATCAAAGTCTGTTCGTTGTCACAACTCGTAAGTATACCGCATCACTGCTCGGAGGTACCCCACCCTAGTGTGTCCCATATTCCACCAGTCCTGCTGGGTGTACCATCAGTCCCCGCTCGGTATCCCACCAGTCCGCTCGCTATCCCACCAGCCCTTATACGAGTAGGTATCCAGCCACCACCGTCCGTCGGTATCCCGCCGGCCGAGATTCCGATCTTGTTAGACCTCTCATGGTGGGCGCTGTCGGACGATATTTTACGCACGGCAGACAGTGGTCTGGTGCTGCCGAGCCGGGGGCCGCTCCCTAATGGCAAATCAGGGCCGGTCGGCGGCAAATTGCATCAGAGAGCGCGAGCGGGCGGCGGCGGCGCCGGCCGCTAGCCCGCCTCAATTAGGCCATAACCGGCGATCAATTCTCACTGATGGGCCCATGCATCGCGCACAGGCGAATAGCTCTCGGCGGCTGCTGCCACCGCTGCTGCGGCGGTGACAAACGGTGATCAACAGCTCGGCGACGTCTTGCCGGTTGTAAGCGGAGGGGTGGCCCGTCGGTGGGCGGGCAGACACGGACGGAGACAGCTCCACTCGGTGGCAGACGCGGACAGAGACAGCTCCCCTCGGTGGCAGACACGAACAGAGACAGCTCCACTCGGTGGCAGACGCGCACAGAGACAGCTCCACTCGGTGGCAGATACGGACAGAGGCAACCCACTCGCAGCTCAGACACGGACAGAGGCAACCCACTAGGCGGTCAAGCAGTAAATAACCCAAACCACTCGACGGTATTTACATTTACAGGCACGGAAGAAGACGCCCACTCAGAGCTCAGCTAAGGAAGAAGACACCCACTCGACGGTCAGACACGAAGGAAGGCAGCCCACTCAGCGCTATTTACGGACAAGGGCAGAGACACCCACTCGACGCTCAGGCACGGGAAAAGGCACCTCACTCAGCGGTCAGACAAGGACGGAGATGCTTCGAAAGTCAATCGCAGTTCTGTTCGAGTGGATGTTTAAAGATCTGTTGAAGTGATTTAGTGAGGCCAACACCGAAATGTGAGCGGAGCTCCAGTTAGCATTGGAGGAAATAACAAATGACGACGATTTTCGCCCGCGGTTGACTCGTGACAGAAAGAGCTGTCTTTCTTTAAATCGGCGTTCTTGTCTATAAATAGGCATAATTAGTTAAACTACGTTGTGCCCACTTCAGACTGTCTGAAAGTTTTGTTACTATTTCTGGCTGAACGTTTGTCAGATTTCACATAGGTCTGCTTTGGCTCAGTCTTGGAAAACTTTGTATGTAGTTACCTAATCTTTGGCTAATGGCTAATTGTCGCTAAAATATAAATACATAAATAGATAAATAACCAAATATGCACAAAATTAGACATCGAGCAGCGTGCATTCATTGCAATTAAATGTATCGGAAACAAGCACCATGCTCAACAGAGATGGGCAATGTACTCACCTGTGAACGACACGTTGAGTATGTAGTTGTTGTAAAACTGTCCTCCGTCGTACTTTCTCATCGCCATGCACACGTCTCTGTGTCCAGGGCAGACGTCGCGGTGCAAACTTTGCAGGGCGTGCGCGTACGCATACACAGCGTCAATCACAAACTGCACCTTGGACTCCTGCACGAACCCATACTTTGGCAGCAGTCGCAGCTTAGGATCACACGGCACCTCAGCCGACACGTCCAGCTCGCACTGAAACAGCGTCTCCCAGTACTCCTTGAACCACGGGTTGCGCCGGTTGTTGAACGGCGTCAGCGACGCCATGTAGTTGTCAAACTCGGGAATGTGTTTGGAGGACAGTTCGACAGTGATGGCGCCCTGAGCCACGTCCTCCAGGCCCTGCACCAGGTTGTCCTGCTTGCCCCAGCCGTCGCTGGCGATCCAGAAGAAGCGCTCCGATAGCATCATCCTCTTGGCGGCCATGAGAATCCCCCTGGAACACAAAGATCGGGCTGTAAATGAAACTTCCACCGCAGTCAACAACTTTTTATTGCGAACTTTGGCCACCAAAGGGCCCTTCATCACAAAAAGACTGGCAACTTGAAGGATTATAGCACTAGAATGAAAAAGCGCTTCTATCGTGATGTTTACCACTTTGCTGTATGCATTATGCAACTGTGCTTCTATAATGTATATAATTAAAATCTCCTCGGTCTGGCAAATAGTTATTATGTCATTCAATTTCAAAACATCTATTAAGCCATTTATACAACGATCTTCGTAATCGTATCATAGATCAAGTGATAACGCATAAGGATGATGTAAATATTTTAGATGATTAAATTCGGTTTTCATGAAACTTTTTAATTTCTACTCAAAAGAAGTAGGTAACTTGAAAAAATATCCCTGGTCAGGCAATTTGTTCTGCAAACTGTTCATTGGTGCACGACTGCGTGAAATATAGAACATTTCAAGAAAAAATTGTGTTGGATTCCTGCCATCAGCATGAACCAGTCAACTAGCATGTCAAGCTTGTCCTTTTAACGAAAGCTGACAAGATAACTGATATAGACAAATGACATCATCATTTTAAATCAACGCTTTTCACGTAAAACCAAATGTGAATTAGGTAGTTAATTATCCGCGCCTTTCAATCGTTAAAAGAACTCTGATTAACTATGCTAATCATAATTCAATGAAGCTGAGGTGACGTGGTACATACGTAATTACTAGTTCCCTACTATCTTTCAGCTGTGGTAGCCATTTTCTTTAACCCGCGCCCCGCTGGGGGGGGGGGCAGAATCTGCCCCCTCCCGTTTTTCGCCAATAACTTCTAAACGCGTTACGCCAGCGACGTCAAACTTTCCGTACCTTATCATACATCAATTTGACACGTTCCCTGAAAATTTGAGCGAAATCCGTCGGGAAATGTTTGAGAAATTAACGATTTAGTGACGTCATGTTCGCCATTTTCGCTTCAAAAACGGCAAAATTTCAAACGCCGCTAACATCTTCATTTTCTAAGGAATCAAGACGTAACAAAAAAGGTTATATGTGATTCTACTTTGTCTATCAAATGGCTATCTCGGTTTTTTGAAAATCTTGGATTTTGGCCCCAATTTTTTTCTAAAAAAACTGATTTATTTTAGAAAATAATTATAAAATCCAAAATTTTGAGTGTATCGAAAAAAACCGGAATATATGTCAAAGAAGTGGTCTATGTGCACCTACATACCAATTTTTAGAAGAATCGGTTCAAAAATGTGGAAGTTATTCAAAATTGTATGACGTCCTGACGCACAAAATTTTTGAAAAATGATTTTTTTTTTTGAAGTTTTAGACCTCGCACGGAAACAAAAATAGCACCATTCGATTTGCCGTAAAAAACTGCATCAGATAGACACCTTTTTAGGCCTTAACAACCAACCTCAAAATTTGACCTCACTTGACCTGACCTTGACCTGACCTCGACCTGAAATTCATCCAGAGGTGGTCCATATCACTTATTGAGTGTGCCTATTGAATTCTATGGGTAAAATGACCCATAAAACATGTGTCGCACATGCCCTTTTCTATATTTTGTTTTTGGTGACCTGACCTGACCTGACCTGACCTTGACCTTGACCTTTGAATGACATTGTATGCAACGAATATTGTCTTGGTAGTCTAAGAACACGTTTTGGGCAATCAGTCTCAGTCCATTCTTCGGCAACTACGGTGCAAGGCCGATACTGTAGAAACTTGAATTTTGTACCCTTGACCTGACCTTGACCTGACCTCTGACCTACTTAAGCAAAAAAATTTGGGCTCTTAAGATCCGCCTTGTTGCGAGCTTTCGATTGCCGTTTTCCCCGTCTTTCTACGACCATCGGTTCAGAAGTTAGACAGGGGGGGGGGCAGAATCTGCCCCCCCCCCAGCAGGGCGCGTATGGCTGAATAGCGCAGCGGGGCGCGGGTTAATTAGTGACACCTTTTATAAATTGATATCCGCTTGTGCTGACTACTCAGACACACCAGGCACGCCATCGATGGCGCTACAAGAGCTTGTTACGGCTTTGTCCAGTTAAACCATCTGTATCAAATTGAGTGAACCACGCACAGCGCCACTATCGGTCGGTCAGTCGGTGGGTGGGTCAGTCTGTTCGCTATTGGTCCGCCCGCCCTCCTTCGGCAGCTATCAGAGAATGGGGCCCCTTAGCAGCGAGCCAGCACCGAGCCGGTTTTCGAGCTAATAGGATCGCTGGTACTTGTCTATATATACCCGGAGCTGCTAACAGCTCCAACTAAACCAGTGCGATCGACGCAAGATCTAAGAGTTAAGCAAGCTGGCACTTGTTGGAGCAAATGTACTGTTTAAACAGTAATCCCAGCTTTTAGCGCTCATTGTGGAACCATCAAAGTTTGTTCCTGCCAATACATTAAAAGATCGTTGAACTGTATATGTGTGAAGCACCCTGGCCAAGAATATCTTGCAACTGTTGCACTCTCAGTTAGGAATAAGGAGTTTCGCATAATGCATGGAATGCATATCAGCTGAACACAAATTTGAACAACCAAGCACTTTTCTGTGTCTGCGTCTTATCTTTTCAAGAACTACAGGAATCCGCGGCAACCTCAATGACGGAAGTTGACGAAAATCTGGCCCGCAGCGCTGAAGGAAACTGTTCAAGTTTTCCTGCAGCCAGACATATCACCTCTACGACCCTAGTTTCGCCTGCAGAGGAAAGTTAACGTTCGTCGTTCGGTTGAAAATCGGACGTATCCGCCATGGTCAGATGGCTGCGGCAACGCATCGGAAAGACCGAATATCCATCACAACACAACACACTGTGCAGCTCACATTTGCGGTGAGGTTTCATATTTCCTGTTTTAGCCTGGCTGTACTCGTACAGGTCTGAACCATCGTGTCATCGATACACCATTTTGGGACCATCAGAGAACAATAACAATCATCGAATGCCACTCTTCGACAAATGTCGGGCTTTTGTCGTCACGTTCTGGCCTTAGCGCTCACTCCCGTGCTTACCTCCCAGCGATGCATGTCATCCATTTGGCCATTTGAGGCCTGCCCTCGGCGCCGCCTGCCCGGTGCCGGGCGACGGCTCCTGTCCTTACGTCCTCAAACACGAGGCAGTGCCGAGGGCAGACGGTAAGGGGCAAGGAAAGGAATGTGGGACGAGGTTAGGTGGCATGATGGGGATGGGGGCGGGTCGCCTCACCGCACAGCGTCGTCTCCTCTCGCCCCCACGCGGCGACTGACTGTCTGTGCGGCGGCGCGGTCAGCCCTCCTCCCCTGTTTGTCACCTAGGGTGTTATCACTGCCGGCGGCCCGGCCGTGTGTACTTTACTGCCCCGTTCTCCTCTCCCGTCCCCTCCCCGCCCCAGCCTCCAACCCACGATGGCCGCTGCGCCTGCGCCGGTCTCCCGTCCGTTTCCCGCTGGCCAGAACCTCAGTTATCTTTGTGCGATAACTAACCGTTCTGGCCTTAGCGCTCACTCCCGTGCTTACCTCCCAGCGATGCATGTCATCCATTTGGCCATTTGAGGCCTGCCCTCGGCGCCGCCTGCCCGGTGCCGGGCGACGGCTCCTGTCCTTACGTCCTCAAACACGCCAAAAACCGCCAAAACGGAGTGACCTGTAGGTGTTTGCCGTATGATGGGCTGATGATCTACGGGACGGCCCTCTCACACTCTGTCTATTCCGCCCTTCCTTACGTGCTCCAGGAGGGGCGGCGTAAAGTGGCCTGCTCAGTCAGGCCCGGCCGCGGCCGCGAGACGACCGGCAGTTGGCAAGGTTGGTGGGTAAACGTAACCTATCACACAATGGGGGGTTGGGCTTCGACTCACCTCTGTCACTTGGTTTGGTTGTTTTTTTCCAGCGCCTGGTGGGGGGGGAGGGGGTGGGAAAAATCGCACAGGGGAGGTAAGAGCGTCGCCGCTCTATTTGCCGAAGTGGACGCGCCGCGGCCGGACCGGCGGTTGGGTGAGGGCGGGCGCCCTGTAGCACAACCAACGGTCCACGGTGGGGAAGATGGCGTCTCGGGCGGCCGGCCCACTTGCCGTCTCCTCCGGCGGGCTGCGACTGGCTGGGGAGCGCGTGTTTCCAGTTGCCTCGATAATGTAGGAGTGAGGGGGAGAGCAGCCGGTGCCCGAGTAAAACCAGCGCTCGTTGTGCGTCAGAGCAATAGGTCGGCGGTGGTTTAACATCATGTCCGATTAAGCCTGCACTGGCTCGTCATACTAAGCCAGATAACGTGGGGTGGGTAATGAGGGAGGGGAGGGGAGCTGGGCTGACGCTGACCCACGGAGCCGTACAGCGCCGGTGGGTGTCATCTTACGAGGGACACACACGGAGTGGGTCTCTAGGCGGCGAATTCGGCGACATGGGTCAGGAGGAGACAGAGTCCGGTCGCTCGCCCGTCGATGCGTCCCCGTGGTCGCCCGGCGCTCCGTGCGCCCGCGGTACGCCGTCTGCGGGGGGGAGGGGGTGCCGTTGTCCTGGCGTTCTTGACGGCGGTGTCTGCTGCGTCGCCTGGTGTCCTCGCTATTAGCACTGGAGGAGCTCTGCCGCTGTCGTTTCCTTGTTCCGATGCCACGGCTATGGGTAACTCATCGGACGCCCCTGCGCCGTCTCTGCACGCCTCTCTCGCTGTCTGAACTGTCCGCCGACCCGCTGTCGGTCCCCGACAAGCTGCTCTGCCGCCGACGGTGTTGTGCGCGGACTGTATGTCTAGGTCCGATGACGCACTGGAACCTGTGGTCTGTTGGTTCGTCTGCGGCCCTTATCTCGTGTTTTGACGGGCCGGGACCGGCCAGTGCCGCCTGCGTGGCGACGGGCGGCCCGTCTCCCCACGTGTTGATTGCCGAACTCATGGCCCAGTGCGGGTGTGTTGGCCGTGGGCCTTATCTCTCCCCTGGCCGCCCGCCGGCCGCCGCGGGGCCGGGCGGTGGAGACGGGATCGGTGTCCGATTACACGGGGCCCAGTGGCCAGT